AGAATCACTGACAAACGGAAGCCTTGGCGCATTGCAAGTCTCACTGGAAATGAATCTGACTTTCTGCCAGCAATGCGGACCAAACCTTGACACTGGTTGGGCAGCGCCCAAACTATGTATCAGTAGTTGCGGTGCCCCATACCTCTAAAGCACCGATAACAAGACTCCCCAAGGGGAACGGTCTGCCCTATCAACAAAAAAAACAAACAAAAATAAACACTAGTTGGGCGAACACCTACGCACCCCCAATTGATGCTGTTTTTACTCGTGCCGACAAGGCACTGACAGCAGCCATCCAACTGCAGATCGCTAAAGATACTTTCCAATACATCCCCTCGCCCAATCTCCAAAACTTCACTGATGGGCCCACAAAAGAAGGCACGACCGATGATGGTGGGGCAGGTTTGGTAGCCATACGCAACGACGAAGTGGTTCATGAATGGTTCGCTCCGATGGACCATGATACCAGCTCCTTTCCCTCAGAGAGAGCTGCCCAAACCGAGCACTACATCTCCATGCAGCTTGTAATGCAGGCCTGGCCAAAGTACAGGCCATGCTGTGGCATGACAGTGGGTGCCCATGTGACAGGACTTTTTTTGTCTAGTGCTCTAAAATTGTCACAGTTGCAGTTAAAACAAACGAAAAAATAAAGAAACGGTAGTTTCCATGCCATCTAAAACGTTATAGTCTTCTGAGTTACGGTAAATGCATAACTGATATAAAACCTTGTTCAATTTTTGATCAGCTAGTAGGAAGATAAATTGTGTTGTAATAATAATAAAAATAATAATACATTTTATTTGAAAGCACTTGTCATCATACTCAAAGACACTTTACAAGAGCTTAAAACACAGGATAAAAATATACACTTAAAGACAAACAGACATGATTTACAAAAAACACATTTCAATGAACAAAAAAGCAAAAATGGGTAAAAGAGATTAAAAGGTGTTAAAAGCATTGCGGAACAGGTGAGTTTTAAGAGATGATTTGAAGAATTGGAGGTCAGTACAGTTGCAGATGTGTTGTGTTTACCTGTTTTAGTTGGTTTAACAGTGAAGAATGAAGAGAGATGCCATAGTTGTGGCTCTTACCTTCAAGTTGTACCCTTGCATCTTGCCATTCTTTGTTTTTTTTACGTCATTTTATCTAATGTAATAATGTAATTATCTTGGCATCTACCTCGATGCCACTTGTTTCATGAGGTGGTCTTAGCACTCTGCATCATCGCACCAAAATCTTTTATTTCAGAAACAAAAGGCACACTGATTTGAAAATTCAGATTTTCAAACATAAACAGGCTGACTTGACAAGTCATCATCAAATGGAATCTCATGAATACTGAGTCAAAGACATTTGACTCTTGTTACCTTTCTCTCTTAGCCGTTTGTCAGTATTGTCAGCTCTGAACGATATTTCAGGAGAGAGACATGAAAAGTAAGGTCAAGTCTGGCGGGCTGCCCACAAGGCGAGCACAAGGTTTCTTTAAATAGCCATCCGGGAGGCCACACTCCATTTCTCCATCTCAAAGTGGTCATCTTACTATCCAACATTGAAGCAGCGACATCAGCAAGGCCATGCCGCATCGCGACACAGGGCTGAATCTCTATTCAGACAGAGGTCAGCGTTTGCCCCACTAACTTTGGCTACAAAAGCGACATTGAGCTGACTGCTTTCCGAGATGCGGAGCTCCGTCTCTGGTCAGTAAGAAGCAAATTTCGCCATGTCAACCTCTGCGGACAAATGCCGACTGCTGCCACGACAGCACAAGAGCGATGTTAACAAGTTAGTTGTGGGGGCTGGCTGCCTGCGTCTGGAGAAAAAGAATGCATTGCTAAAAGTTTGAAAACTACGACCACCATAATTCATATGCATAAGATTATCCCTACTATTGTCCATCGCAATCTTGAAAAGTATAAAAACTATTGGAACAACATTTATTGAGCTTTTCTTCATTGGAGCTCACAGCTAATGCCAATAAAATCCAAACTGTGCTTGCGCTTTTATATTTTCACAGGTTAAAATGGTCATGATTAGAGATGTGAATATGAATTTTGAGGACGATTGTTCACGGTTGTCAGACACTAGCTGATAACAGAATGAGACAAAGAAAGGCAGGAAACAATATTACAATGCTTGCCTCCTTCCTTCAATGACGTAGTTAGGCTCATATGTGAAAAAAAGCAGCCCCCCGTCCATGAATAATGCGCATCATGAAAGATGTGCTGAATGGAGTCATAAAAAACGCATTAAACCACTATTTCAGGGGAATGAATTTTTGTGCTGACATTTTTTACATTACATTACATAAGTACCAATGCTCAGCCCAATAAACGGTCCCTTTAAACCTGTTCTTTACAGAATTCATTTTGTCCTCATTTTATTTTGGATTTTTTTTTTCTTTGTGAAACACATTTGATTAGCCATTGCTTCTCATGTTCATTATTTCTCTGAAATGTATTCCAGAGGTTTAATTGTTGCAATTCTCAGCACGTGTTAAATATTTAGTTTACAACAATTATTTTCCATGAGGAAATTCACTACAAACTGCAGTTTAATCTACCGTATTTTCCGCACTATCAGGCGCTTCGGATTATAAAGCGCACCTTCAAAGAATGAGCTATTTTAAAACTGTTTTCATATATAGGGCGCATCGCATTATAAGGCGCAAAGAATAGAAGCTACAATAGTGGCTGTGGGTATGTTATGCAGCCACTAGATGGAGCTACGCTAAAAGGAAATACAATACAATAGAGCTTTTTTTATATTAAAGAGCGTTTACAACCGCTGCAGCTGGAAAAAAGTGCTTTACAGAACATTTAAAATATTACATCCAAAAAAATCAGAATATTGATCCATATATAAGGTGCAACGGATTATAAAACGCACTGTCGGCTTTTGAGAACATTAAATGCTTCTATGTGCACATTATAGGGCGGTAATTGATTTATGCTCCTTGAGATTTATCATTAAAATGACCGATATTGATTTTGTTCAGAAAAATGACGAAAGGAACAGGACAACACAGGGAACAGTTTTTACAAATTTATTATATCAATATATAGAGATATTTATGAACAGCTTGATTTCATAGAAACGTGAGTGAGACCATTTTGGCATACGGAACAGATGTGAGTACAGAAGTTGCTAAGGTTTAAACTCCCACAGCCCTTCCCCCCGACTATCCCACCAGGTAATCCCATCTGTTCTCCTACAGACACAGAACACAGGAAAGACAGAGTAAAAGTATACAGGAGCACAAAACAAGGCACCAATAAATTAAAAAGGAGAACCCCCTTTTAAATATACACACACACAACAAAATCTATTCAACAGAATTAAATACAGTATGAACATAAACTCTGCAGTCCTGTTAAAAAGCAAACATATGGAACAGACAACAGGAAAAAAGTCAAATAAAAACACTTTGGCAGATTATTAATTTTAGTTACAATCAAGTAGTAAAGAAATCCAGTGTTCTTGTGTACAAATAAATTCATATATTCTACACTTTTTTTTTCTCCCCTCAGAGGCTTATGTACATCTATTTTTGTATTTATTTATTTTTTTTAACAGATACAATTAAAACACTATCAAAAAGCTGTATGAAAAAGTATTTACAAGTCACAATTCAAAACCATTGGACTGGATGTACGGACTGCCTCGCTTCCCCCCCTTCCCCTCCTAAGAGCATAATCTTTTTACACAGTGCAGAAGGCTTCTTGAAAATGTTTTGTGCAACAAACAGCATAAAAAAATATGTCCACCGTGTGGCTGTGGAATGTGGATGGAGGCCCGATTTCTTTTTTTTTTTTCTGTAGACAATGACATTAAAAAGATTTTTCAAAACAGTTGGAAGAGCCAGATGATTTTATAAAGACATAAGTAATTAAATTCGCCCCATCAATTCCTGCAATAATGTTGAACTCTTATTACGGAGTTGTTAACCATATACAGTAGCAGACCCCCTTAGAATTTAACTTAGCTGAGCAGCAACTTTATGCCTTGAATTTGTTTTTAGATTAGCTGAACAAAGTTCAACCACGATATCAGTGACAGTCTGAAATGATTCATTTTGAGTTTAGATACAAAACAAACACAGCACTAATAGATAGCAGTTGGTTAAGAAAAGTTACCAAAGGAAAAGTCTTGACCGAGCAAAGAGCATTTCGTAGTTCAAAATAGCAGGCGAAGGGGCAGCTTCTGTTGGAGCGTCTTCTTGACACCTGTTGGGGTTTCTTATTCGGGAGACCTTGGTTTTATCCAGCATCATGTCTTTTTTTTGTCCCCTAGTGTGCATCTAACCTGGTGGTATTGATAGCCCTTGCAAAGAAAAAATGTTGATGCTAGGATGAAGATGGGATATGCAAGAGAGATCGGGAAACACTATGTAACAGGAGCATCACAGACACTAACGCTAGATATGGAAAAAAATGTTAAAACCTTGTAGCTGGTGTTATTCTTTTGTGCATGCAATGAAGATGTGGAAAATAACAAAATGTTGAATCCGTTAGAAAGCATTCTGGGCACCCTGGGTCAGGAGTAATATTCTCTTCTTATGGAGAGATTTGGAAGACTCTGTTTTGAGAGACTACTTTTTTTAGTGCAAAGACTGTGACAGGATAAGGAAGTGATCAGTTTTGGGCAGGCAGCAAAAATCAAGAAAAAAAATCCAAAATCCTAACTAGTCGTTGGGTGTTCCAACAGATTCTGTGGGTCTGAAATTTGATTCCTGCATGAAAACAAAAGGAAGAAAGAGCCAGATTCGAAGGCCGTGTGAATTTGGACACCAGGTTGCGGTCGAGAGACACTGGAAGTTACATCATGTGGCCGACAAATTCGGCCTTTGGAGGATGAAGCCCACAAATTTTGACATAGCCATAGTGTACACACACACACACACACGCACGCACGCACGCACGCACGCACGCACGCACGCACGCACGCACGCACGCACGCACGCACACACACGTAGAAAATATATAAAATGTGGATTTTTCCATCATCCTTTTCCTCCTACGGACAATTAATGAAGCATAAGGATCGGTAGATGCATCTTTTGGGCTTCATAAAATACAAAATCTTTCCCCAACATTAATTTCAATCCAATGTTCTTCATTCATTCGGGCTATCACATTTGAAATTGTGTTCATCCAAAATTTGCTCATGCTGTTATCTGCCCTCAGGTCCAAATTACCCATCTCCGATACCAGCAACAGAGAAAAGCAAACAGTCTACAACACACCGAGTGAGAACAAACAAACAACCTCAAGTTCATTGTTACCAGTGTGCATACCTCAGATGCCAACACAGAGGATTACTCATAATGCTCTTTTCTGCCTCGCTGGTTTTTGCCTTGAGGCTCGACCTTCTGGTGGCACAAATCCTCATGTTCACCTTAAAAAAAAAAAAAAAAGCTAATTTCTTACTCTTCCATTCTCAAATCAATTCCAAATTATTCCCAACCACGCCTCAAGTACTGTACCCCACAGCCTCAACATACCAACACGCATGCACGCACTCATTCTCACATGAATGGACTAATTCCTCTTACTATATTTCACCTTGGTACCTCCGTACAGTGTGTGAAGGGCTGGAGAGCACAGAGAATAGTGATACCTTTCCAACAAAGACATGTCTGGTTTTGAAAATAGCACCCAGCAGGAAAAAAAAAAACTGTCTTGTGCCAAATACTGTGCGTCATTTCAACTGAGTGGAAGTCTGTCTTGTGCTGTGCAATGAGAGAGAGGCAGATACCGCTAACACATTTACACAGAGTAAACATTAATTTGCTCTGGCACGTCAATTTGCTCTGGCACTGACGACAGCTCAGTGAGGTTAGTGTGACAAAAAAAGAGAGCATGTAAATGTTCACGAGGACTACCTGAGGTGGTGAAAGAGAAGAAAAGGGCGGAGCATAAGCTACTAGACACTAGGATTAAATGTAATAGCAACTACTATTGTTATTGCAGTGAGAGCACGAAAAGAGAAAGTTGGGATATACAGTACTGGTTGTATGAATCATCCCTGCTCCTTAAAAGGGAGGCAAAAGGAGCAGAGTCTCCTCTGTACATAGCCAGGCCTCATTGTGGAGGTTTGGATGTGGAGGGAGGAGGGGCCAAGTTGGGAATGAAGCGAGAGGCTGCATCCCTCCATCAGGGATAGCCATCGTCCTCCTGACTGAGTGCCACTCGCTGAAAACAGCAGATAAAACATGTTACCAAAGTTAAAGGGAGAAAAAAAAAACATCAGACAGTAGCATGATGACAAAAACAACAACCTGAAATCGTAAAAAAAAAAAGACAACGGCTTCAGCTGTTTATTTATAATTTTCACTTTTCCCTCCGACACTTGACCTCCTTTATCTTTGCCCTTTTCTGGCTCGATGAGGGAATGCAGGCTGCATGCCTTTGGCTGCAAATTTTTGGCCCACAAAAAGCCAGCCTGATCTCTTTTTCTCTCTCTGGCTCTCTGAGATGCCACATGAGACGAAGAGAAAATCTGGCGAGACAACAAAAATGTTACCCTCAGTGACACCTCCTGGCCCAAAAATATTTTTGGGTGCACATTAAAACAAACCAAAAACAACAACAACTCATTTGTGCATTTATCTGTCATCAGATGCCAAATTATTTGCCAGAGTCCTTGCTGAAGCGACACAAAGAAATCAGTGTTGCCATGCCAACTGATCAAAGCGCTTACCTCCCTTCCCCCACATTCCTTTTTGGCTGCCCTTCACGGCATGCTCCGCTACTCTGACAACACCACATGATAGGGAAGGAATGTCCTTACAGAGATTTCTGTCCCCACCTTTTTTTGAGAATGCAACTCACGGCCGCCGTTGACTGTTGAGTTGGTATACGTTTGGCCCCGAGGCACAACATTGCACCAGTAGCAATGCCATCAGAAGGACAATACGTTATTCCCTTAAAATAAAACTGAACTCAAAGATCTTTTTAGTGGTGGGAGGATTGTTCTTGTTTCTGATTTCTGCTGCCCATTTCATTGAATGAGGAAGAGATGGAGCTTACATGACACTGTTTCAACGACAAATATGAAATCCTGAGCTGTCCTGTCAGCTGTCTTGTGACATGTAAAAATAATCCAAAATATTCTTCTTCTTCGTAAGTTAGCCAAGCAGTCTTTAGTGACATGAATAATTTTCAGGGACAGCCTGAAACACCTAATGTACGTGTAAAAAAAGCATAACATCACTTAATGTGAGAAAACTGATGTATCATCAGCAAAATTCACATCTCTTCTCATGCCCACTTTAACCTAAAAAAGATTAAAATGATCCCCACCATATTTTGGATTTTAAACCATTAACCCCTTTTTCTGCCCATAGACGTTCACGATCGAGAAATAGTTTAATGTTGTTGAATGTTAGAACGCTATCAGTCTTTACCAAAATCGATGTGGACATCTCTACCTCTGCCCACAACAGTTGCTGAAAATACCAAAACGATGGCCTCAATATTTATGGTCATTGAAGGAGTCACATCATGCAAAAGCAACTTTTTTGTGCATTTAGCTATGTTAAAATGCTGCTTCCTCACCAAAAAAAAAAACCCAGTGTGTCCCGCCCCCCTCCCCATTCCCAAACAGTTGTTTTTGTCGCCATCCAATTTGGGACATGTTCAAAATTTCTTTGAAACAGGAAAAAAATGTTGTGACTGCACTCACACTCGCAAAACGCCATAGCTCAGTGTCATACGTGCTTTGATGCCCATAAAATCGAAAATATCATGGCGATTGATTTGATGATTTCAAAGACTGATGTGGGCATCGGTTGGCATGAGTTTTGGTGACCATCAGGCGTAGTTTTGTAAAAGAAACACCTGCAAGCTTTTTCGCTGTTTTGAACATTATGGGAGAAAAAGGCTAAATGCCTATAAAATCCAAAACGTTGGTGATTGTTTTTTTATTTTCAGAGGTTGAAGTGGACACAAGTAGAGATGTGCATGCAAATGTTGATTACGATTGGTCGGAGCTTTCTGGCATTAAGACCTTCAGGTTTTTTTTTTTTTCTCCCCCATATTAAGACTTTTCGACTGTTATCACACTGGTGCTGTCTTGATGAGGATCCCAGTTTGCTCCTGTACTAAACCCAGCAACTTCTTAAAACAGTTGATACGTAAGTGTATGATTTTGTTTTTCTTTTTGATAAAGTAGGGTTTTGACAATAAGGAGATGATTAGATTTTTCTGAAGAAACACTTAAATATAACTAGAAGAATCACAAAGTACAACAAGCGGGATACAGTATGATGGCAAAAGAGATGTAATTGATAAAATGCATCGATGTCTCTATGATGATGGTCACTAGAGGAATGGTAAAATGGTGTCGGGCTTCAAGTGCTCGGCGTTTTCGGTGCCTACTGCAAAAACACAATGTGTGCGTCTGTTGGTATGTGTGTGGCATGTGCACGTCTGCTTCTTTTTTCACCAACAATTCCTCCCCAGAAGTTTCATTTCTCATTTGCCACTGGAGAGCATCGGCGCCCCGGAGTACCAGTGAGAGTTGCTGTCGCTGACGCCGCTCCCTAGAGGAAGAGCTATGAATGGCTGACTATGGCTGCCACTCACTGCTGGGTATACGTGACCGATGGACTCGCTGTGACGCCCGATATGGATTTCGTCGTCGTCGTCCTCGGTGGTCTTGCGGTAAACAGGGTTGTCGAAGTTCATGCTCTTGGTGTTCTTGCGCCGCCAGTTGCGCCACACCAGGTAGGCGCCGGTGCAAAGTAGCCCGATGACCACTGTGGCATGGATAGGGACTGCATGTGTTTAACACACACACACGCACACACACACACAACAACAACACACGGCGGGAACGTTAACACAGCCCAGGGGACACAGAGCGGCACTGTAAGCACATTACACAAAAACACACACTTTCTTCGACTGAAGGCTCATCATTTTCTTTCTCATTTCGAGAACTATTTAGTGCAAAAATCATTTTATCAAGAAATTTTCATTTAAATAAAAATATTGCAATCAAAAAGCTGTGTGGATTTTTCAAACTTGTTTTTGTAACGAACAATTGTTTTTAAAATGACAACACAACTCTTCAAATTGATTATGAATTACCAATTTCGAACTCCGACAGCAACTAATTTGTCTTAATATAACCAAGAAGTATACTGTACAGAAAGGCTAGTTTGGACAGTCATGCCAAACAGCCATAGCCTAATCATTTGCAAAAGGAGAACTCAGGGCCCCTCTGTCTGTAAACAAATGACTCAGTTGATGAAAAAAAAAACAAAAACAATGAGCCTTCATTTTGCAAAACAGTACATTCATCCTCAGCCAAAATGTTACATCAGAAACAGTCTTATGAATGCACATTTGCAACAATGAGCACGTGCATGCATCGCTCTCTCCCTCACACACACACACACACACACACACACACACACGCACACACACGCGCACACACACACACACACACACACACACACACACGCACACACACGCGCACACACACACACACACACACACACACACACACGCACACACACGCGCACACACACACACACACACACACACACACACACAATGAACCCTCGCTATAACACGGTTCACCTTCCGCGGCTTTGCTGTTTCACGGATTTTTTTGTGCAGTTTTTTCAATGCTTTTAAACAGGGAATTGCATTCTGCAACCTGATTGGCTAAGGGACTGACTAACGTGAACAGTCTCCGCAACTTGTCTCTGTGCAGCTTGCCAAATTTACCTTTGCTGCAAATTTTTGGTCTTTGGTTTCATTGTATCAGTGGCGGATGCTGGTCTGTCAAGGAGGGGAAGCTCAGTATCGTCCTACATCATAAAATGTGTCCGTTTATTTATACATCAATTCTACTCTCCGTTCCTTTTCAAAAAAATTAAAAGAATGCCTTCACCATCAGATCGGTGGTTGGCTCATTTCACTGTCAATCAAAAAGAGATTCAGCCTCAGACAGATCATCCATTCATCATGCAGAAAAGCTCAGCGTCCAGACCAGCCGATAAACGCCCACTGTCCATAGACTCCCAGAGACGCTGAGCGTCCGGTGGGCGGGACAAAACCAGCATTTATCCAATGACTCGTTTCATTTCAATGCATTGGGACAACCTACACTGAACTCTCTAGATAGACGCCCAGCGTCCGCGCGGTCGACGCTCAGCGTCCACACAGTTTAAAGCACAGTGAAGCTGTGGGAATGAATGAGAAGAGAGTCACGTCGTAACCAGTAATAAGAAGCTGATTCGGAACAGATGTTGAGCGCGTTGTAGCGCATATTTAGTCAATGACATGTCCACACAATTGTATGTACACACATATATTTGATCACTTACTTTTTGACATTTTAGGGGAAGCTGAGCTTCCCTTGCAGTCTTAGAGCAATCGCCTCTGCATTGTATACATAGTTCAGTATTGTTAATAACTGTAAAAAATAAAGCTGCACACAATTATTTGTGATACAGTATATTGTATATACAAGGCGCAAAATGACTTTTCCCTTTTTTGCTCATCAATGAGTTAATTTGAAGAGCAAATTACAGGAGCAGGTTAATAAGATCAACATGCATAAACTAAGATGTGCGCCCACAACATGTGTGTTTAATAATGGAATCGGCTGAAACTCCACAACCGCAATGTTCCTCTCCATGCTCATTGGGTTAAAAACATCTCCTTTTGTCTGATGCTGATATTTAAGTCCAATTATCGTGCACCATAAATGACAGAATTTGGCTAAGTAGTGACTAGAATAATTGAGCTGATTCCTCTTGAGAAGATGTGGGTGGGCTCTGTTCATTAATGAATGGAAGCACAGAATCCGTCCCTTGTAGACCCGTAACAATAAGAATGTTTCACATCTGCCAAAAATTGACTTGCTGCCTCAAGAATAGCAGGGGGGTAGAATGAGCAATGGATGAGGGGGGGGGGTCAATCATCTTGGGGGTTGTTCGAATAAGCTGAACTGATGTCTCAATTATAGGGAGGGGGAAAATGAGCATTACAGTACAATGTTTGAGAGCTCCCATTGTGCTCAATATGAGAGAGGAGAAATCTCAGGCATATGCTGATCCTTTAAGGCAGGCATGTCCAGCTCCGGGCCGCCGTCCTTCCTGTTTTCCATCTCTCCCAGCTGTAACACACCTGATTCAGATGATCAGTTCATCAGCCAGCTCTGAAGCAGCGTTAGAACGATCCTGATTATCTGAATCAGGTGTGTTGCTCCTGGGAAAACTGGAAAACAGGCAGGACAGAGGCCCTTGAGGACCGACTTTGGACACCCCTGCTTTAAAGCCATTTGCACATTCGGCGGAATATTCTTTAACATATATAATATTTCTTTGCCATAATTAAGTTTGATTTTCCTTTCTATTTCATCTCGTCGAATAGGTGTCATTCCTGACTATCAGTGCTTCTTCCGTCACCATTGAAAGACTTTTAAAATTTTACTAAAAATCAATAAAATGCTTCTTGCTACTTCATTGTGGTCTTGCTTTGAAAATGACAATGAAATAATGCTTGTAGATGTTTTTTTCCCTCATTAGAAAATAAGCTTGAGGCCCTGAACCTGGCATGCCCTCCACTTAAATTTCCACCTTATTAGAATGAAGTATGATGAACATAAACTATGGTACACTGGAAAACACACACACACACACACACACACACACACACACACACACACACACACACACACACACACACACACACACACACACACACTAAAATTGGTATTAGTGAGCATTGATCTTAAACTATAGTGATGCAGATCCACCAGGCAGGTGCTACTTATCATATTGCAGATTAAAGTACATTATTATAGCACAGGCATTTCTTTAACTCCCAGTTAAGGTCCAATTTATCAAAACTTAACCCGTTAATTATTAGTTAATGTAACTGATGTGGAACTGCGAGGCAATTTACATATAGTGAGGCCTGTGGATGTGCAATCTACTTGAAAATATCTTTTTAGGCAATGTATGGTGATGACATTAACAGGTAGCTGTGGTGGAAATTTTTTTTTTCTATTTCTGCCTGATGCTCTTCGTATTCACACTTTATCAGCGGACCAATGGTTGCTTATTCTGAAGCATTTGGAAAAGGTTGCAGCTTTTGCAACATTTTATGTGACTTGAGTTGGTCCCCCTATCCCAGGGGTCGGCAACCCATAATGTTGAAAGAGCTATATAGGACAAAAAAACCCCAAAAACAAATATGTCCGGAGCCGCAAAAAAATAAAAGCCTTCTATAAAACTTACAATGAAGGAAACACATGCTGTATGTATGTAGGAGACTGGATGTCTCAGAATTGTTTATTTTATTCATTCCTTTGTTGTGTGTTCACAAACGCCCCCATAGAATTTATTTTGTAATTTCCTCGCTTGATTTTTTGTTTTGGTGCATTATTTTCGCTTTTCTTAGTGACAGTGAAGTAATCATTAATTTCCGTTTTTCTGAGGCTGTCTTTGAACGCTTCTCGAGTCAAACAAGAAGAGAGAAGGCACAGACGTGTCCGTGTTTGTCGAGACTGTTAAAAGCATAAATAAAGTGTACGTTTTAAAAAAACCATCACCACAACTCTCCTTTTTCGGAGCTGCAACATGTATCTACAGTGATCCCTCGCTACTTCGCGGTTCATTTCTCGCGGGTTCAGTGCATCGCGGATTTTTTCAAACATATATAAAAAAAAAAAAAAAAAAGTTTTTTTTTTCCATATACATGGAGTACAGTACTGTATATGTTGCTCTGTGTGACTCGCTGTTGTTTTGCAGCTTCTTGCGGACCATTTGCGGACTTAAAAAAAAAAAAAAAAAAAATTTACCTGTTTATGTTAATTGGACGCTACTTCGCGGATTTTCGTTTATCGCAGGTGGTTTTGGTCCCCATTAACCGCGATAAACGAGGGATTACTGTATATCTATTTGAGCTATATTAGCCTACTATCAAAATCTTTTTCCATTTTCAAACATTTTTTATAAAGCTCCAGGGAGCCACTAGATGTCGCTAAAGAGCCTCATGCGGCTCTGGAGCCGCGTGTTGCCGACCCCCGCCCTATCCTATTCCAACTCTGGGTAGTTTGTACACAGCAGAAAAAAAGGTAGATAACTCGTGACTTTTTGATCTTATCAGGTCTATAGATTATTATTACAAAGGTGAAGTAGTCATATAAACAGACTACATGTAAAATTGTGGCCCAATACTATTTTTTCACACCAGACTAATATTATTATATATTAATTGAGAAATTTCCACTGATTCAAGACATGCATAAATGGATATATAAAATAGGCGATTTTCCTCAACCAACATTTGGTACACCTACACAAGCTAACACGAGTTATTTCAAGCGTTGACCTTGCTCATTGCAAGGCTTGCATCCTGCTGAGCTTTACGCTACTGAAAAAAATCCCCCAGGTAACTAATGTGCTCGTCACCAGTACATGATGCATGAACCAGAGGAGAGCAACTCAGGAGCCCATTTTTTTTTTACACACTTACAAATAGAATGTGGTTGTGTTGCTTGGCCTTTATCTCCCAACCTAATGTAGTGGTGTTGATGTGTTAGCACCTAAAAGCATTCAGTTCTCTCAGAAGCCAACAGTGCGCCTCATAATCCGATGCGCCTTATACATGGAGCAACATTCAGATTTCTTGTATGTAGTATTTTAAATGTTCTGTTAAGCGCTTTGTTACAGCTGCAGCGGTTCTGAAAACCCTTTATAAATAAAGCTCTATTGTGTTGTATTGTATTACCTTTAGCATAGCTCCATCTAGTGGATGTATAACGCAACTGCAGCCACGATTGTATCTTCTATTTTATGCACCTTGTAATGTGGTGTGCACTATATTGGAAAAGTGTTTTAAAATAGGCCACTCATTGAAGGTGCGCCTTATACTGTGAAGCGCCTGATTGTGCGGAAAATACGTTAACTTGGGTTACAGTGGCTCATGGCAGTTAGATAGATTGCAGTGGGAGAACAATGTGTGCTCAAAGCGGGAACTTAATGCTATTTGCAGCTATTCTAGTGTGATGGCAAAATGAACAGAATTCCCCACTTGCTTGAATCCTCTTCATGACAGACTGTAATGTGCACATTACAAAGGCCGTCGCTGACTAATGAGCTTACTGGCTCATAATGGCTTTCTCTAGCCATAGGTCGAGTCAGGGCTTGTAGTTGAATAATAGCAAACCACTGGATATTTTCCACAGGAAAACCACTGAGGCCACCCATAGATGTTGACTGTTTAAACCCACAAATTAGGTCAGTTAAATCAGGCAAGGTGGGAGAAAATTTTTTTTAAAGTCATACTCATGCATCCTCACACACTCGCACACGGGCACGCATGCATTCGGTACTGACACACAACAATCACAGAGGAAAAAGCTCAAAGGGAAAAGCAGGCAAGCAAAAAGCCAAACCAACACAGCTGGAGAGTCAAGAGAACTCACCGATAGGAATGACTATCCCCAAGACAGCTACTGTGATGTTGTTGCCTATGAGGTAGTGATCACCCGCAGCTGATGACAGGGGGAGAGAGAAAATGGGCGAAAGAGAGAGAGAGAGAGATGTGACAAATTATTTTCAAAATCATCCCCAAATAACTTGCTAGAGGGGAAAGAAAAGTTTGCTGTAGCTAGTAAGAAACATTTTTTCAACATGCTTGCAAAATACTACAAAACGGTCGATATTCATCCTTATTTTACCTTCAAGTGTCGTATATACTGTCAAATTTACAAACCTAACTCCAATGACGTTGGGTCGTTGTCTTCAACGTAAAATAAAAACAGACGACAATGATTTGCAAGTCATGTTCAATCTATATTTAATCGAATAACTGATAAACTGCTGTTTTTAGCAAATAAACACTGACTTAGAATTTCATGGCCGCAACATGTTCCAAAAAGAGCTGGGGACAAGTGGGGTGGCAAAAACGACTGAGAGAGTTGAGGAATGCCCATCAAATGCCCGAGCCACCTCATCTGACTCTTCTCTGCGGCTCGACTCTGAGTCTCTACCAGATGTCTGAGCATCTCACCCTATTGCTAAAGGAGTGCCAGCACACCGTGTGGAGGAAACTAATTTTGGCTGCTTGTATCCGGGATCTTATTCATTTGGTCACGACTTACAGCTTATGACCATAGGTGAGGTTTGGAACGTAGATCGACCGGTAAGTCGAGACCTCTGCCTTTTGACTCAGATCCTTCACCACAACAGACTGATGCAGAGTCCGCATCACGGCAGATGCTGAACTGATCCGCCTGTAGCTCCCAATGCTGCATCTTGGCTTCACTCGTGACAAGACCCCAAGATACTTGAAATACTCCACTTAGGGCAATATCTCATTCCCGACCCGGAGAGGGAACTCCCAACTTTTTCCAACTGCTACGGTCTCAGATTCAGGGGTTCTGATTTTAATCCCGATTGCTTCACACTTGGCTGTGAACTGCATTCGGAAGAGCTTGTGGCTTCAATAAATCAACAATATCACTACATCATCTGCAAAAAGCAGAGAGGCAACACCAAACTCACCAAAATGGACTGCCTCACCGCCTCATCTACACCAAGAAATATTGTCCATAAAGGTTATGAATAAAATCGGTGACAAAAGGCCGCCTCGGCAGAGTCTCTTAAACTGGAAACTAATCTGACCTATCACCGGCAACGTATACAAATCCACATTGGTGGTACAGGGACCGAGTAGCACATATCCCTGCATTAAAAATATAATACTGTAAACTAATCCACATGTTTAATACATGTACCAGTAATCTGATTACATTTTTTTTCTGTATTGTTATCAGATTACATTTACATTTTTTTTTTTTTTTTGCATCCTGAATACGGAATGTCGGAAACATGTATTCCGCTACTCCCCAAGGCTTTTTGTTGTATGAAATTTTCAGAGCAGAGCAATATCAATTTTGTTTTGGTCTGCCATCCAACATTGTTCTTCTTTCAAGCACAAATAAGGCATAGTGCTTTTTCAAACATTTTTCAAGCAGTTATAAAGCAGTATCGGTGTTTGACTAGTCAACAAACAGCTGATTTTTTTTCTGAGAAGCCGTGATGAAATTTGTGATTTGTGTTCGAATGAGTCGTCGAGAGTGTGAGTGAGGGGTGAATGGGAAGATGGAGGCAGGGAGGAAAAGACTAAGAGATGCTGTCAAAAAAAGTGAGTGAGGAAAAAGTGGCGGGAGGTGAGCAGACGGAGCCGTGGGGACTGTTGTTCGTTAGTTGACAGATCTGTTACTTAGTTGTAACCCTTGTGCTGCAATTTCTACGATGTTTGTAACACATGGGTTACCCCATATGTTACAATTACTACAATTTTTGTAGATTTTTGCGTATTGTCATCTTTAAATCAAAGACACAGCATAAAAAGTGTGTGATATGAAATATTCCAATTCATGTTTTATTTATATAGAATTATATTTATGTTTTGGTCATAGCACAATACCGCTTTTATTGTCCATAGAGGGCAAAAATACAAAGAAAAAAATAAGAACTATATGTGTATGTATAGCACTGATGCCACTGAACATGTCGAGTGGTTGAAAGTGAAATAAATATTCAGGAATAATACTTTTACAATTTTTGTAAAATTGTATGTTGCATTATATAAACTTATTTAGATCGACTGCAGCACATGGGGTAGTGAGGGACGAACTGCAAGCAGACCGAGTAACAGCCTTGTGCAGTATGTGAGTGTGTGCGGGATTAAGAGTGATAGACAGTAAAGCAACCGGTGAAAGAAAATGTACAGTCCAGAAATTCCTCAAGATAGAACTCAAGCTAAAGAATTTCGAGACAGGAAATGGGAGATTTATTATTATTACCGTATCTTCCGCACTAAAACGCGCACTGGATTTTGAGGCGCACCTTCAATGAATGGCTATTTTGTCATTTATTTTCATACATTGGACGCATCGCATAATAAGGCACAATCTACAATGTGTCCACTAGATGGTGCTACGCTCCTTCCATTCAACTCGAGAGGCGTCCGTTCAACTCGAGAGGCGTTCATGACCGCCTCTGAAAAACGTAAACAGAAAATCAAGCGAGGAAATCACAATATAAATTCTGTAGGGGGGGCTATAGAATTTATTTTGTGATATCCTTGCTTGCGTTTTCAGTTTTGATGTATTATTTTCAATTTTCGTAGTTTCATTGAAGTAATCGTTAGTTTACGTTTTTCGGAGGCTGTCTTGAACGCCTCTCGAGTCGAACTGAAGAAGAGAAGGCACGGAAACGGACAAAGACGTACCTGCATTTGTTGACACTGTTTTAAAAAAACAACACCACAGCTCTCCTTTTTTCGGAGCCGCAACAAAAACTTATATAATAAACTAGCGACGCAGCTCACTGAACCAACAGCAAGTTATAACATTGTAAGCATGTCTCCAGCAAGGAACCATTTTGGAGTCGACATATTACCGTAATGACCATACACAAGGCGCACCGGATTTTAAGGCGCTCGGTGAGCTTTTAAGAAAATATAAGACTTTTTGGTGCGCCCTATAGTGCGGAAAATACGTTTTGTTTTTTTTAATGGAGCAGTTCAGCTGCCTGCTGTGATGATGACAGTGAACAATCATGGCAGGAGTTGCTGCAGAGCATATCACACAAACAGAACACACATGCAGCATGCACATCGTCACTTAACACAATTTAATGCACTTTGCATAGACCCTGCCTTTGGGTGGGTGATCCTTACCTCGATGTGACAGGTTGCCGTTGCTCTCTTTATGAATGCTGCTGGGGGCCAGTGGGCCCAGTAGGGGTGTGTGAGTAGATGGCGATGTCTGGCTGGTGCTGCTGGAACTGGTCGGTGTACTTGTGGAAGCAGGTGTTCGGAGGAGCTCGGTGGAGGTCCCCTTGGGTTTCTGTGGGGGTTCGGCTGTTGCCAGATGCCTAGTTGTGGTCATAAGTGTGGTCGATGCAGTAGTGGTGGTTGTGGCTGGGACTGTTGTCTTGGGAACAGGGGTGGCTTTTGTTGTTGTACTTGTCATAGATGTTGTCGAAGAGGTGGTGGTCGGAACTGCTGTTGTGGTTGTTCTTGTTCTCACTAAAAGTAGAAACAGAAAAAAATAAACATCAGCTTTAGTTAAATGTCATCATATGTGGAAAGGTATGTCACCACATTGAAGTTATAGTCTGTACTGCCACGCTGTGGACAATAAAGCCCAAAGTTAAAATGGTCCTACCCGGCAAATCCTGCGTTCAAGTGAATTATTGATTTTTTTTCCTCAAGTGGAAATTTGAAAGCTGCAAGATGGTAAAAAATGACGTTCACTAAAAGTGACTGGTTAACACTTTCGCCTCGCAGTACAAAGGTGAAGGGTTCAATTTTGGGCTGTGGCCTTCCTGTGTGGGGTTTTCATGCCTGCATGTATTTTTCCAGGTACTCTGATTTCGTCCTACATTCCAAAAACATGCATGGTAGGTTAAGCGGAGACTCTATATACTGTCCCTAGATTGTGAGTGTGAATGGTTGTTGTTCGTCGAGGTGTGCTCTGTGATTGGCTGGAAACCAGTCCAGTGTGTGATAGGCTCCCGCACATCCACAATACTCGTGGGGGATAAGTGGTTTGAATAATAGATGGATGGATGTATTTACGATTACATTATTGGCTTATTGGTAATTTTGATGACATCGTAATATCTTTTGCAAGCATAAGGGTGAAGTAGTGGACAGCATGTCGGCCTCACAGTCAAGAAGCGCTTGGTTTGAATATTGGCCCAGGCCCACCTGTGTGGAGTTTCACTCCATACTAGGTTTTCTGTATTCGTTTTATTTTAATTGAAGAATCTAAATCAGGGGTCTCAAACATACGGTCTGCAGGCCTGATCCGGCACGTAAGAGGATTTGGTAAAGTATAAAAATCGAGTGTGGCCCAACTGAATAAAAAGCTATATGAACGATTGTAAGAAGTACAAACAGCAAAAGTAACAAAAGCATGCATGTTTATTTCTCTGCAGTTCTACTTGATGTCATGTTTTGGTTTGTGACCAACAGGTGGCACTGTGGGGCTTTTCCCTGCAGCTGCACACCTGTTGGTCGTTAGACAATTAGTGGCTTTAAAGGACTCCCAGCCCGAGCACTCATTGTCGGGTCATTGTTTGCTCTTTGCTGCCGTCATGTTTGTTCCGGTCATGTTTCGGTTTGTGATCGTTTTTAGCTTCTGCCATGATTTTTGTTTGTTACTTTGGATTCGTTTTGTTTTCAGGACTGTTTGTTTTGGATTTAGTTTTCTGAGTTTTAATACAATCTTTCAAGTACACCCTGCTCCTCCTTCCTGCCTGCTTTTTGGGGTCCACCACCACCACGCAAACGTGACAATGACCCGACCACCTGGACCCCGCAGGTACTAAGGACTGGTCCCTATTCCACCATGTGCCTGGCGGAGCACGTCTGCGGCCGACACCCTTTTCCCCTTCAGGCAGCGCTGGTGATGCGGCTGTCCCATGTTCCCCCTTCAGGCAGCGCTGGTGATGCGGCTGTCCCATGTTCCCCCTTCAGGCAGCGCGGGTGATGCGGCTGTCCTATGTTTTCGTCTCATCAAGCCGCGTCTACGGTGGGCCTAGCCCCGTCCGCGTCCACGTTGAGCTGAGGCTCGTCACGTGTCTGTTCGAACTGAGTCACATTCACGTCCACGACGAGCCGTTCCACGCCCACGTCAGGCCGAGCCCCTGTTCATGTCTGGCTGTCCAATGTCCCCCACTACGTCGAGCTCCGTTCACGTCAGGCAAAGCCCAGCCAAAGGATTGCCGTTGCTTTTGTTCCTGTTCCCTGGCGAGGCGAAGGTCGCCGTCGCTTTTGTTCCTGCTCTCCGGCGAGGCGAAAGTCTCCGTCGCTTTTGCTCCTGTTCTCCGGCGAGGCGACGGTCACCGTCTCTTAGTTCCCGTTCCCCGGCGAGGCAAACCTTCTGGACAACTTTGGGACGTCTGGGATCCGTCCCTTGAGGGAGGGGTACTGTCATGTTTCGGTTTGTGACCAACAGGTGGCACTGTGGGGCTTTTCCCTGCAGCTGCACACCTGTTGGTCGTTAGGTAATTAGTGGCTATAAAAGGACTCTCGGCCGACTACTCATTGTTGGGTCAATGTTTGTTGCTGTTGGCTGCTGTCATGTTTGTTTCAGTCAGGTTTTGGTCATTGTTATGTTTTATCTTTAAGTCATGTGTTTTGTTTGATATTTTGTTTGTTTTGGATTTAGTTTTCTGAGTTTGAAAAACAATCTTTCAATCCTCCTGCCTGCTTTTTGGGGTCCATCTCCACCACCACCACACAAACGTGACACTTGAACCCGCCCATCCACTATCTGAGCCGTTTATCCTCACGAGAATCACAGGTGTGCTTGAGCTGCTACATGCAGTTTTTGGGCAGTAAGATGGGCATATTCAGTTGCAGGACTTTTACCTTAACTGAAAGGCTTTCAAGTTCGATGACACAGTATCATAAGATAATCTGATAATATATTGTTTATAGTGTCACTTTTTATTGGCCAGGATGTCACTATTTTACAAACAACCTTAAGTCATGGTTTGTTTACTTATCATGGCAGTTAAAAGACCCTGAACAACGGGGGGAAGCAATCTGGCCATTTTTTTTAAATGGCTAATTTTTTTCCCCCGCTTAGTACACAGTGCTACATTATACAACCTGATGCCATTATTTCATCTTTGTTTTCTTGGAAAACCCTGGTTAAATGGTAGGTATGCCTAAATGTGACTTGAAGTCCTGCTCTGTTTGCTTTGCACTTCATTAAATTCTTGAAAAGAAGTCTTACAACCACATATTTTGATTGGGACTTTTTCCTGCTACTGGATATTCATATTTCATTCAACTTATTTAGTGATTGATTTATTTTTATTTTTATTTATTTTCGTGTGCTCTTTACAAAATATGTATTTCATGGGCAAATGGAAAAGAAATCACTGAAAATTGCCATTCATTTCATGCAATTTAAGGGAAAATGTTATATTGGGATGCATAGGGCACCGAATGTTTTTTTTTTTTTTTAAAGCAATATTTTCAATTGAGCCCCACTATTTCTTGAGATTGACTGGTGACCAGTCCGGAGTGTACCCCGCCCCTCGGACAGCTGGGATATCATAGGCTAGAGTTCATTTGTCCCCTAAAAAAAGCAGGATAGAAAATTGGTGGATAATCTTTTGTGCTGGGCAACTAGAATTCCTGGTACGGTATGATGCCTGTTTTATTACATTTAGTCGAGACTTACCTGTGACACAACGCCTCATATCTGGTCCCAGCTCCATCCCATCAGGACAGGCACATGTATATTTGGGGGAGTGGTCTGTAATCTGGGGTGCCTTTAAACAAAGGTACTCGCAGCCACCGTTGGGAAGACTGCCTATGTTACAGGTGTCAGGCGCTGTTAAGGACACAGACACGCACGTACACACACACACACACACACACACACACACACACACACACACACACACACACACACACACACACACACACACACAAACCCATTCATGGACAAAATTGGTTTAGTTTTAAATACGTGTGACACGCCCGACTTAAACAGATAATGAATCAAACTGTTTTCCAGGTTAAAATAATGTGTACACAGTATTTTATATATCTATCTATATCTATATCTAGGCGGCCCGGTGGTCCAGTGGTTAGCGTGTTGACCTCACAGTGCAGAGGTACCGGGTTCAATTCCAGCTCTGGCCTCCCTGTGTGGAGTTTGCATGTTCTCCCCAGGCCTGCGTGGGTTTTCTCCGGGTTCTCCGGTTTCCTCCCACATTCCAAATCATGCATGGCAGGCTGATTGAAACCTCAAAATTGATGGTTGTTCATCTTTGTGTGCCCTGCGATTGTCTGGCAACCGGTTCACTTCATACATATCTGTAGAAAATGATCTTCAAGATGGTGCCATAGTTGGCAGCCGTCGGCAAGAGTTTTTCACGAGCTTTGCTTTTTGTTGTTTTTGTCTTTTGTTTTGTCAGATGGTTTTTGTTGTCCTTTGTGTGGACACGATGTAGATTGTTTTCAGTGTTTTGGCCGTCGAAGGAGAAGAATCTGTGCATGATGGGTGCGCCTTTTCGGCAGCACGCATTTACCAGCACTGATTTTGATTTCGACGGGGAACATTGGCGCTATTTGACTGTCGCCGCTGGACAGCCCCGGGCGCTTGTGTTTTTTGCACCTGTAAAGGGCAGCACTTTTCAAAGCATTATTCAGTGGAGATGTCTGCGCCGTTGGACAGTCTGCTTTGGAGCAGAACGATGGCTTGTGGAGTTGAGGATGAGGAGAGCGGAGCGCGGATGCATATTTAGAACTGCAGCTGATTCACATGGGACGGAAGATGTGAACCGAACCGATCTCTTTTTCCGTCAATGGATGCTACAGCTTTGTGTTTACTTTCAAACTGAGCTTGTAGCAGATGTGTGCACATTTTGAGCATGAAAAGTATGATCCACTGGTGAAAGGACACTTTGATTCTCTCCTCTTTCATCTATAGCTGCTTTCAACAACAAAGCAGATGTATGCAGGAAGTGGTTACGATTGCACAACTGTCCGTGTCTGATGTTATGTGTTGTGTTATATCACTTTATTTTCTGTTAACTGCTATGTAAAGCACTTTGTTACAGCTGCAGCTGTTGTTAAAGCGCCATATTAATAAAGATGTATTGTATTGTATTGTAGATGATAATTCTAGTGGGATCCACCAGGCTCCATTCGAGTCATTATTTTCTTCCCTTTACAATCAATTACCTGATTTCATGGCTGATGATATTGCAGACATATTACAGAGATAAAATAAACAACTTGATTTGTGCTGTTGTTTGTGTCACAGTGTATTTAGAGTGGTGGAAAAATAGCCATTGTGGCACCTTCCTCTTTGTGACATGACAACACACCCATGTAATTAAGAGCCCTTTATATACTTAAAATGCTTCCACTTCAAAAACTGTTTTCACCAATAGACTGACAGAATGTTAATTATGTATTTTGCGAAGCGAATGCTGATCATTGGTTGATGTCGACCATGCTTCATAAGAGACGTTGCGTAAATGACGGCCGTTTGTCACCATTTGGAGTTCATTTTCACCAGACAAGTGCTCAATTGTATCAGCGTTACAACAGAATATTTTAGGATAAAGCAAGCTGTTCATATATTCGTATATATCACAGGTGTCAAACTCAAGGCCAGATCCGGCCTGCCACATCATTTTATGTGGCCCCCCCGAAAGAAAATCATGTGTGTCAACTTGCATGATCTGTACTAAAAAATGTACAGAAATGTCAAATTGTCATGTGTAATAATTTATGTTGAGATTTTGCTAAAATTTTGTTACTCATAAAAGTAATAATGCGATAATGCGATTCAACATTTTTGCGGTTTCATTGTCATCCTTCGAGGCAAGACAAAACTCAAAAGTGGCCCGTGATAAAAGTGAGTTTGACACCCCTGACATATATAATTAAAACATTTTTTTTTACTCGAGTGCTCCAATATGACACAATGGAGGACACCACGCCATTCAACAATCTCTTGTGAACAAAAGGGTGAGTGAACCATCTTAATTTATTCAGAGCACACTACGGGAAGGTTTGATTCAAAGTGTATATCATTTTGGCCTGTTTTTTTAACAAGTTTATTTTTGGCCTCTCATGTCACACTTATGGACCACACTTTCAGAGAACCACTAAAATGTTATATTTCAACATTTCTGCATCCCAGCATTTGATGAAAGGAGACAGGATGTTAAAAATCCAGTAGAGCGCAGGAAATGCTATGTAAAAGTATGAAAGAAGACGGAAACGGAATTAAAAATTGAAGACCAGTCCTAGTTTTGAGTTTCGGTCAGTACAATCAGCATTAAAGCGGAAGCGGAATCACCAACAACTTAGAGTGCACGGGTGAATGTGAAGTAAACTTGAAATAATTCATCTGCGGGTTTTTTGCAGTTTTTTGCACCTGTAAAGGGCAGCACTTTTCAAAGCATTATTCAGTGGAGATGTCTGCGCCGTTGGACAGTCTGCTTTGGAGCAGAACGATGGCTTGTGGAGTTGAGGATGAGGAGAGCGGAGCGCGGATGCATATTTAGAACTGCAGCTGATTCACATGGGACGGAAGATGTGAACCGAACCGATCTCTTTTTCCGTCAATGGATGCTACAGCTTTGTGTTTACTTTCAAACTGAGCTTGTAGCAGATGTGTGCACATTTTGAGCATGAAAAGTATGATCCACTGGTGAAAGGACACTTTGATTCTCTCCTCTTTCATCTATAGCTGCTTTCAACAACAAAGCAGATGTATGCAGGAAGTGGTTACGATTGCACAACTGTCCGTGTCTGATGTTATGTGTTGTGTTATATCACTTTATTTTCTGTTAACTGCTATGTAAAGCACTTTGTTACAGCTGCAGCTGTTGTTAAAGCGCCATATTAATAAAGATGTATTGTATTGTATTGTAGATGATAATTCTAGTGGGATCCACCAGGCTCCATTCGAGTCATTATTTTCTTCCCTTTACAATCAATTACCTGATTTCATGGCTGATGATATTGCAGACATATTACAGAGATAAAATAAACAACTTGATTTGTGCTGTTGTTTGTGTCACAGTGTATTTAGAGTGGTGGAAAAATAGCCATTGTGGCACCTTCCTCTTTGTGACATGACAACACACCCATGTAATTAAGAGCCCTTTATATACTTAAAATGCTTCCACTTCAAAAACTGTTTTCACCAATAGACTGACAGAATGTTAATTATGTATTTTGCGAAGCGAATGCTGATCATTGGTTGATGTCGACCATGCTTCATAAGAGACGTTGCGTAAATGACGGCCGTTTGTCACCATTTGGAGTTCATTTTCACCAGACAAGTGCTCAATTGTATCAGCGTTACAACAGAATATTTTAGGATAAAGCAAGCTGTTCATATATTCGTATATATCACAGGTGTCAAACTCAAGGCCAGATCCGGCCTGCCACATCATTTTATGTGGCCCCCCCGAAAGAAAATCATGTGTGTCAACTTGCATGATCTGTACTAAAAAATGTACAGAAATGTCAAATTGTCATGTGTAATAATTTATGTTGAGATTTTGCTAAAATTTTGTTACTCATAAAAGTAATAATGCGATAATGCGATTCAACATTTTTGCGGTTTCATTGTCATCCTTCGAGGCAAGACAAAACTCAAAAGTGGCCCGTGATAAAAGTGAGTTTGACACCCCTGACATATATAATTAAAACATTTTTTTTTACTCGAGTGCTCCAATATGACACAATGGAGGACACCACGCCATTCAACAATCTCTTGTGAACAAAAGGGTGAGTGAACCATCTTAATTTATTCAGAGCACACTACGGGAAGGTTTGATTCAAAGTGTATATCATTTTGGCCTGTTTTTTTAACAAGTTTATTTTTGGCCTCTCATGTCACACTTATGGACCACACTTTCAGAGAACCACTAAAATGTTATATTTCAACATTTCTGCATCCCAGCATTTGATGAAAGGAGACAGGATGTTAAAAATCCAGTAGAGCGCAGGAAATGCTATGTAAAAGTATGAAAGAAGACGGAAACGGAATTAAAAATTGAAGACCAGTCCTAGTTTTGAGTTTCGGTCAGTACAATCAGCATTAAAGCGGAAGCGGAATCACCAACAACTTAGAGTGCACGGGTGAATGTGAAGTAAACTTGAAATAATTCATCTGCGGGTTTTTTGCATGTTGTCACTGAAAGCATACGGTTGACATTTAGTAGACAGTATTAGAAATTCTCCCAAACATGTCTGTCTATGATCAAAAGAGAAGACCATCTAAGGTAATTAATCGACGGAAAATACAATTGTTACACATAGCATAATCACATCACAACCTGAACTTCAGTGGTGCCATTTTTAAAAAAATAAACAAATAAGAGATCATTATTACTGCTCCAGCTCTGCTTGTGTATCCAATCCATGCAGATTAATATGATTTACATTTACAAATTACATTTTATGATTAAGGTAGGCAATTTTGATTTCACAAAACCCACAAATGAGTGGATTAGTGTACATGAATAGCTGCTGTTGTGACTTGTGTGTTAATGATTTGCTGTCTGTTTAGCTGAAGGACTTTGAATTGTCTGACTGAGACTGTCTGTGTCTTCTTTACTTAACAGTTTCTAGGCTGAGTTCTACAATTTTGCTCTGAATAAAAGGGAGTAGATTAGACAGTGGATATAAAAAAAGTCTAAACACCCCTTCAAATCTCAGATTTTTGGGATTAAAAAAACAAACAGCAAGAGAAATCATTTGGAAATAATTTATCTTGGTCTCATATTTGTACATCACAAAAACGTGGCATTTGAAGTGGTTGATTTTATTTTATTTTTTATTTTTTATATCCACAGCAACTAAATTCATGCATAGCCTGGATTTAAAAAATCCCTTAGCCTTAGGCTGACAAATGCAAGATGGAACTCAATGAGCCGATTGCTTGATTAAGTTGAAAGTGGGCTGTTAAAACTTTTTACACTCAAATACTGAAATATTCACATCCCCAAGCCAAGACGCAAAAATGAAGTTCCTTATGTCATGTGGAGAGACACCAGAAATAGGTCAGGTTGTGGTCGTTGCTGCCTCTTACGTGTTGTTCTAGGGAGCGGTTCTTCAGAGAATTCATATGAAATCATGGGAGGAAGCAACATCAGTCATGCATTAAGAAACCTTTGCACACTGGTTCCATGTGCAGCATTTCAGCAAAGTCGCCATTCCCATTTTTTGAGACATCATCAAACTGCAAGGTGCAGGAAATGGTGGAATGGAGGTTGGTAAATTATTGAAATAGTATTACCACATGCTACAGAGACTGCAAAACTTCCGTATCCTTACACCTCACCTTGTTGACTCCCCAAAACTAAAATGTGAAAGCCGAGCAGGATGAAAAACAGCAAAATATAGTTTGAAAAAGTCATAAAGAGGGCATTCATTGGAGCCAACTGATTTATTTGGATGTGCATATGGAGATGAAACAGAATGTGGTGCTGTTTCAAACATGATTTCACAAATTACATGTGAATTAACTTGCGATGAAGTGAAAGAGGAAGGGACTGTGTTGTCTTCGAAAGACCGTATTTTCTCAGCAATTCAGGAGTGTGTTTAGGCTATGTTGACATTGCAGGGTGTGATCCCAAATTGCCGGATTCTTCTTTTTATGTACTTGTTCACATTACAAAAACAGACGTGACTTCTAAAGTGAATGCAACGCGCCCGTGATCTGACAGCAATGGGCACAAAGCACAACGTCGAGTGATGTGCACCAAAAAATTACGTCATGCGGCGCAGTGCTTACAGAGGTAAATATGGTCCCGCATGTAGGTGCTCATTTCATCATCTCATATCGCAAGAGTAGCGAAGTGGGAAGAGGTGGAAATATTTTGGGGGATATAGGGCAACGCTCCTCGATCTCCTCATTTTAAGGGAGACATCTACTAAACATGACATCACTGCTGTGCATAATACATGAACCGTCTGCGTGGCTGAATTACTTTCACCACAAATGTCTCTTTTATGCTTCATTTTGTCACACGTCATTTCACTCGATATATCTGAACACGAGCGTGTGCCACGTTTTTGTGCATACGTGAGTCCCCAGGTTATTTATAGGTTGCAAAAGAGCGAGCAGGTTTGATGACATAACCAAGTTTATTTAGCTGGGACGTTATAGGTTGAGAGGAGAGGCTAATGGCGGATCTCAATCATCTTCCCAGCTTCTCCCACCTCTAAATACAACCACTATAATCCGGCAAAAAGAGACGAGATGAGCCCCCTCTAATCTTCCACAGAATGCTTGTGGCAGCATCGAGCAGCGTTTGACTTCTCAGACAGCAGGCCACTCATTACATGAAACAATGTTCGTTCAACACTGTCAAATTCCATCGCAAACCGAGATACCTGAATAATTAAAATATAGTTACATCCCCAATTACACAATATCTTACTTTGATTGAAATAATACCTGCTGTGAAAACAAGATGGCATCACATCCTTTATGCATGAATTTGTTTGTATCCATGCATTCGTGTGTGCAGAGTGGCCTACCCTTTGGCTGCCTCTGCTCATGGAACACCACCAGATCCAGCGGATTGTTGAGATGCTCTGCTACTTTAGCCACATCGTTCCCCGTCAGGCGGTTGGCGCTGTAGATGGCTTCATCCTCCAAGTCGGTCCAGTATATACGATCCTGGAGAGAAGAATTACCAGATTTGAAGGAAACAATTATTCCTCCCCAAACAAAGAAGCATGGCATGCCTAACTTGTGTGATTCTGATATTTTACTTGATTAATTTCACTTTAACAAAACTGAGTCAAGATAATTAAAGAATAAGAACTTTTTGAAACTGCAATAATTTGCACTTTATTGTCAGAAACCACAGATAAAGGACACATTTCAAGTAACTACAGATTCTCTCATTGCTTCATGGTTGATAAAATGCTCTAGTGGAGTTTCAGTGCATTTTCCCAAACCATGCTGAACACCCAACACAATCGACAATTAAAGCAGATGTGCTGGTGACAATGGGGTGAGCAAACTATATTTTGCCACCACTTTGGATTTCAAGGCAGTCTGGTTTATGGGGTTTTGAGTGGGTTTGATGTGATTGGCCGGCAACCAGTTCAGGGTGTACCCCGCCCACTGCTCGATCACAGCTGCGATAGGCTCCAGCACGCCCATGAGGATATGCGGTTTGGAAAATAGATGGATGGCTGGAGTTTGGGTAGAGCATTTTTTTTTTGTTCTGGGGGTGGGGGGTCATAAAGTTAATTAATAAAATCATAGATTTTTCTTGTGACAAATTGTCAGTTCCTCAAACAAGCACAAATAGCTATTTTAAGAAATCGTACTATTGTGAGACTCTCCTTTGATATACTTGGTGCAATCTTTAGATTATTTGTATGAATATATATCTGTCAGAAGAGTGAGCGCGGATGGTTGTTCGTCTCTGTGTGCCCTGCGATCGGCTGGCAACCGATTCAGGGTGTCCCCCGCCTACTGCCCGAAGACAGCTGGGATAGGCTCCAGCACCCCCCGCGACACTAGTGAGGATAAAGCGTTTCGGAAAATGAATGAATGAATGTCTGTCACAAATCAATCATAATTGTCGGCAGGTAATGTCAATGGCCTGGTGATAATCAAATATCTGTTTGGTAATGTCGATGAAATGGAAAGATTTAGTGTCTCCTCTCTACAGTCTGTCTTACTTGTACTTGCATTCCGCCCGTCATTTCATATAAAAACTCTCCCTCTGTATTTAATCTTTAATGGTATTCCTGTCACCAATTGACTTGATGCACGTTTTGTGTATCATCGGATCCAAGTGGAGTACGTCACAGTGGTATAGTCAAGGTTCTATTTGTTCAGGATATTGGTGGATTTAACCTTTCTGAGCTGCATCGAAATTCTACCCTTTTCAGATAACCTCGACTCACATGACAGTATGCTGACACACAAAGAAATAAACCACGGTGCGAAGAAGACTCCGATTTATTAATTCACTTATTTTGTCTGTTACTGACAGCTGAATTTTCTCCTCTTTCTCATTTATCAAGATGGGAAACTGTCACAATCCCTTACCTTGAAAGCTACAGATACAGTCAATATGTGCAGGTCAAAGCATCTCATCAGATCAAATGTAACATTTGAAGCAATGGATGGTTGGTCAAGAGTTTTACACATGAACAAGCGCGGAGTCGACTGAGACGTCCATTCTATCAGTTAAGCTCTGTTTGCGCTTGCTGCAGGCATGCGGGTTCATCTGAATGGCTGTAAATGTTCCAACCAACCTTGATGATTGTCTTGGTTTTTCCCCAATGAAACCTTCTGAACAAAACTGGGTATCTGTCTGCAAGTTTACATCTTCCTTGTATTTTTACCTATGGCCAATAATCCAAGAAATTTTCTGTTTATGGAATGTTGGTATGAACCAGTACATTGAAATCACTCTTTGACTACAGGTCTGTTTGCATGAGAATTAACGAGCACTATGCCTTTATATTAAAAGAGTGGGCACCGTGAGAAAACACTGCTGAACGTACATGACAAATAATGACTATGAAAAAAAAATCATTCATATTTTCATGGAGTGGATGTTCACAGGGTTCTTTCCCAAGACATTTGCAAAATGCCTTTTGTTGGAATAAATGTAATTCTGTTATCCCATATTTACTCTCTGTGTAACTTTAAAACCTGTTCCAGAGTGAGATCTCGCAAATACCTCATTTACAAGGAGCGTCAGCGCAGAGCGCCGATGCGTATGTGGGACTGGGAGTCGTGGCTTGGAATTGAAGCGGATTTACATGGGGACAGGAGAAGAGAGCCAATCTCTCTTTTTCGTTAATGGATGCTACAGCTTCTAGTTGCTTTCAAGCTTAGCTTGTAGCAAACGTGTGCACATTTTCAGCATGACGTCTTTGAAAAGGACACTTTGATTCGCTCCTCTTTCATCTATTACTGCTTCAAACAACAAAGTGAATGGAGGAAAAGCGGTTAAGATGGCACGACTGTGTTTTATGTGTTGTGTTGTATCATTTTGTCATTTTATGTTAAGTGTTCTTTTGATAGCGGCGCGTGCACCCGCAGTGGCTCCTCTTGTTGTCTGTTGTCTGTTTAAGAGGGAGGAAATTTCATCTGCAGTGTACGCATACAGGACATTTGACAATAAAGTTGTACTTGGCTTGACTTGACTTGAGTTACAATGGGTAGGTTGATAATGGTAGACTTGTCGGATCGGGAGAGCTCAGGCTGCTCCTGTTCTGGCTTTTAAGATAACATCCTTTTGTTAAGTTAACGGCTTCTGATCAAAGTGACTGCTGCTTGTGAGAAGATAACATCAACCCCAGGACACAATGTGAGGGACATTCACAGCTGTATTCGCGGACCACCGACCTTCAGCAGAAGCCGTCTGTTCACCTCAGGAATGAACTGTGTGTTCTCATTGAAAATCTCCTCTACTGAAACTGTTGTGAAATGCGCAAGTATTCCCCACACCCATCAGAAGATCGTGTATCAGGAACATCCTTCCAATAAATGCAAGGAGACAAACGCGGTCTCTTCAGAGTTGCCCCGGAACCTGTAACGTTTTACATGGCGGAACCAGCTGGAGAGCTGCTCCGAGATTGTGAACCGAGGCATGTTTTAACGCAGTCTCTCTTGCAAGAAAAACAACCATGGCTGCCTCCTGAGTCTTCCTGTTCCTGATGTATTCTTAGCGTCAGATTACCAGCAAAAACATGGAGCCCTAGAACATTCTCCAGTGAAAAAAATGGTAATTTAAAGGTGGCATTTAAAGAAAATAAGCTCCAAACAAAAAAAAATAAAAAACCTCACTGTGACATGTACCGCAGCTGTTTTAGATTCCCATTTTTTCTTCTGACTGTGCACCTGTCATTTGAGATTGCCAAAAACGGTATTTGTGGAATTGGCAAAAAAAATGTGACAGTGCTTCTGACACTGCCTATTACACACCAAGCAGATCTTTCATCTTCTTTCCTGTCTCACTGTGAGAGGCCCGACAGCCATTTTAGGATTGTTGTCATGATTGTACATCTTTTCTTGAGACGATATAATTGAACAGCAAAAACCTGGTTTCAGGCAGCTGACTTAGATCACAGTTTCCACTGCAACTCAGTAGAGAAATTGGATTGGATGCTTTCAGGTCTTTGCGGTAAATTTCATGCACATTTTACAAATCTTACAAATTAAGATAATTTGCTGGGGTTTTTTCTTCGCCTGGATAACATGTTTGAAAATGCTGAATGGAAAAAAAAAAACAGATAACACTCAAACCAGGGAATTTATGGTCTTCGGTCGATTGGAACAGGAACTGCTTGCTGTAGGATATGTAATTTCGTTTATATGTTAAGCAGAACAAATCACAGCAAAAAGGCACTGTAGGTCATCAATCTTCAGACAAGAACTTGCTTGCCGCAACACACACACACACACTCACACACACACACACTCACACACACACACACTCACACACACACACACTCACACACACACACACTCGCACCGACAAACACACCCACACACTCATCTGGACATGATGAATGCCACCGCTTTTCTTCTCATCTTCACAATGTGCGCAGCAAAACGAGGAATGAAGAAAGGACTTCCCACTGATCACATTGCAGCCCCTCCATCTTCACCCTGCTCTCCACTGGATCTCGTCCGCACTTTCTACGTCTAATAATGGATTGGCTTTTTCAGACTGACCACCCAGGAGATGGGGAAACCTTTGTTTTTTTTTTTTAATGAACACATACCCCTATTTTTAACATGTATATTTGTGATTCTTCTATACCTGAAAAACAGTGAGAGCAAAGGGGTGTCCCAGGTGGCGATGGGAAGACAGTAACACCCTGCGGTTGTCCCCATTAAAATCCACACTGGACAGCAGGTGCAGCTTGGAATCCACCCAGTAGAGACGCCTATTGGACAAATCTGGACATGGAGCGAGGGGTAAAATGGTGAGGTTATACAAGGAGAAAAAGACAAAAAAGAGTAAGTGAAAGACGTCATTCCAAAAGGAAAAAAAAACAGTGTGAGAGGTTTATGAATGCTGAGGCCTAGTAGCTACACCATCAATCTTGTGTGACATGAGAGCTGAGACCCATGCGCTGAGAAAACACAGATGTGATCGTAATAATGCAGTTTGACCTCTCTACAAGGTGGAATATACGTACACTACACAAGGAAACTGATTAGGTGTGCTACATTTGCTGTGTTTACTCTTCGGATTTCAATTTTCAGACCTGTTTACTTTGGGACCAACACTGGAGGGCTTTGGTAAACTTGATATTTAAGAGAACTGTTTCTATTTGACAGAATAATCTCAAAGTGCCTGCACTTGCTCAAAAGGATTTAACAGGCAATTTAAGGGACCATAATTGCCACATACTTGAGGTGAAGTGAACATACATTTTCTCAGCCAAATGCATTTCTCTGTAACACTACGAGACTATCCTTACATTTACCATTACACTTTCAAAGCTGCTATTATTTTTCTTAAATGAACAAATAATAATAATAAATGTCAGAAAGATAATATCCATCAATCCATTTTCTAATCTGCTTATCCTCGCAAGGGTCGCGGGCATGTGGGAGCCTATCCCAACTGTCTTCGGACAGGAGGCAGGATACACCCGGAACTGGTTGCCAGCCAATAGCAGGGCACACAGAGACGAACAACCATCCGCGCTCACACTCACACCTAGGGACAATTTAGAGCGCTGGTGTCAAAGGCAAGGCCCGGGGGCAAGATCTGGCCTGCCACATCATTTTATGTGGCCCGCGAAAGCAAATTAAGCATGTCAAGGTCCATGATGCTTGCTAAAGTCTGAACCAAAATTTCAAATTGTCATTATGTAATCCACAATGACAGTCATTATTCTTGATTTCTGATTTTAAAACTAGTTATTCATCAATTTGTTGTGCGCTGTGTATGTAATATGTCGAGGTGTTTAGACATTTATATGGTTTCCCAAAATTCATAACGGCCCTCCAAGGGAAACCGTAACTACAATGTGGCTCGCGACAAAAATGAGTTTGACACCCCCGATTTAGAGTGTTCCATTAACCTGCCACGCCTGTTTTTGGAATGTGGGAGGAAACCGGAGTACCTGGGGAAAGCCCACACAGGCACGGGGAGAACATGCAAACTCCACAGCCGGAATTGAAACCTGCACCTCTGCACTGTGAGGCGGATGTGCTAAACAGTCGTCCACCGTGCCACTGTAATAATAATAATTTTTAAAACCTGAATAGAATTGAACACGATTTAATGTCAAGGCTATTGCAGGGTTAACCTATTGTCAACTGTGAAAAAGAGGTACCGGTAATACACTTTTCTAAAGTATTCTACACTCACACACACACTGGCCACACAATACATAATAGGAACACTTGCAGAATCTAATCAGATAAAAGACCAGACAGACTCATCCAAAAGCTGTATATTAAAAAAAAATGTTAATACAAAAACACAATTTTTTAGTTGCAATTGACATCAAAATACAGCAAAAATACTGATTAATAAAAAAGCATAAGTGTATTAATTATAGATTGTAATATTGTATAACTACACTGGGATGTTGTGGTTTGCATGGTAGGGTGGTTGTCTTTCAACCCAAAGACTGTAAGTTTGATCCCCAGATGAGTGCCCTGAGTACTGAAAGTACTCAGGGCACTCAGTACTGAAATGCCAATTCTAAATTTTTGATGTTTTATTTTGGTAAATGAGAAAAGCTAAACGAGTGGCCCGGTGGTCCAGTGGTTACCGCGTCGACCTCACAGTGCAGAAGTCGTGGGTTTGATCGCGGCTCAGGCCTTCCTGTGTGGAGTTTGCATGTTCTCCCCGTGCCTGCGTGGGTTTTCTCTGGGTCCCTTCGGTTTCCTCCCACATTCCAAAAACATGCATGGCAGGCTGAGTGAACACTGAAAATTGTCCCTAGGTGTGAGTGTGAGCATGGATGGTTGTTCGGCTGTGTGTGCCCTGCGATTGGCTGGCAACTGGTTCAGGGTGTCCCTCGCCTAATGCCCGAAGATGGCTGGGATAGGCTCCAGCATCCGCCCGAGACCCTTGTGAGGATAAAGCGGATCGGAAAATGGATGGATAGATGGAGAAAAGCTAAACACTTTCCACACTTCTCAGTGTGATTCCATTTAGATATCATGACACTGCAAAGTATATATACTAGAGGAAGGCATTTTAAAATCAATATCTAATTGAGAGTATCCGTCAAAAATGAGATTATCGTTGAAAAGGCAGACTTTTTGACCAACTTTTATTGTTCTTGCCATTTGTGTTGGTCTTCATAATGTTGTGGGTGGCAGGGTATACGGTGCACAGAAACTTTTCTGGGGCACCTCATATGTTCACTTTTCTGATGGAAATCAGTGACTGTAAAAACATGAAACAGCTCTCTTCCATGAGCTATAGTACACATCAACAACTCTTCTCTTCTGCTTGGAAAAATAATTACCGATCGTTTTCATTCGTGTGTACCGCGCGCGACCTTGCAATTCCACAGAGTATGGCAACTCTATGACTCTGTTTCTCCACAGGCAAGGGCAGCGGCAAAAAAAAAAAAAAAAAAAAATTGGCCGCTGCTTCACAGGGAGTTGAAAGCGATAATGGGAGGTATCGACAGAACGAAGCGTATGGCTTATTAATTCAACAGCCCATATTTGTCGGCTTGATAGATGAGAGCCAGACACAAAGTGAGCTGCAGAAATAACAGTGGCTCAGGGGGTGCAGGGCAGCTATTGTTTTCTTCTTCTGCTTCCACTGAACCTCTCATGGTGCTGACAGCACTTCAACTATTCTACCATGATCACTCCGCTGTCTGAGATTGATTGATTATCTTTCCTTGGATCACAATTTTCAAAACTCTCTTTCGTGTTCATATTTTCTGTTATGATTTACCTAAGGTTATTCCGTTGGGCCATTCAATGTGCTCAGATACCAGAACCTGTCGATCCACTCCGTTCATCCCAGCTTTTTCTATCTTGGCCTGATCTCCCCAGTCAGACCAGTACATGAATCTGTCAAAAGAAAGACAGATACATTGGATATTGGTTTTCTGGGAGTACACCAAATGTATTTCTTGTCCCTGAAAAATGCTGTTTGGGTAAAGAAACAACAATTGGTAAAAACATTCCATCAGGCAGCTTTTTACACCACTTATATGGCCCGATTAGCATTGTTGGTGACTGCACAGAGGGAGACACCAACAAAATAACATATCCAATCGTTCAATAAGTCATGGAGTAAAATTGTGCCATGCCCATGTCTGTGTCCTTTGGATTTATGTTTGTATTGAACAACGATAAACTCTAAAGCACAGTTTTTCACTTTCCTCCACCTGAATCGATTGTTTTCTTGTGTAAATGTATGGGATACGTCATTCAGAGGGCAGGACTTGTTTTCATTTACATATATTTTATCGTACTGAGTCATGGAAAATGTGTAAGGGCAAGTGTCAAGTCTACAAATTGTAAATATTGTGTAATTTATTGCTTTAAGAGTGAGGTGATGCTATTTTTGCTTCATGTTATGATGCTGACATTTTTTTGATCATTGATTGAGACATAGCTGTACATCGAATTCCACAACTGTGTTTTGGGCATAACTTGAATTTGTGCACGCTTCATTTGAAGAAACTACATATTCACATGTTATATAATATGGGCAGAGATGAGCCATACAGTTTGTTCTTCAAGAATTTCGTGAGACAGTCAATGAAAGTAGGTCACAGTCACTATAAGAGAAAAAACTGTACTGTACATACTTTTCAGGGTATATGAAATATGCTTTTCTTGAAATTACTAATCTTGGTGCAATACTGTAATGGTAAACCCTTCTCATCAAAAATGAACTGCAAATCTGTCTGGTCCTGCACTTATTGTACATCTTTTCCAAACCCCATTCAACTCACTCCATCTCTACTTTCACCTCCTTACCCTTGATGCGGGTCGACCGCGATGGCCCGTGGCTCACTCAGCTCTGTGACGATGAGCATTTTTCTCTTGCTGCCATCCCCCGTGGCCACAGAGATGCTCTTGTTGCCCGAGTCGGTCCAGTAGATGTTCTTATGAACCCAGTCAACAGCCAGGCCCTCGGGAGAATGGAGCGCCTCGAGGAGCGTGAGTTGCTGTGAAGAGTCATTGGCTTTGTTGATGTAAGCACTGGTGGATGGAAGAGAACATATACGGTCGTAAATCCCGCACACTAAAAACCAAAAACTTGCTTGATCTTGTTGTTGGTCTTGAGGTGAAACACGACTCAGTGTGGGTAACGGATGAGAGGGAATGTGAAGTTTTTGCAGATAAGATGTCAAGGGCAACCAAACCTGACACCTCTCTCACAACCTCATTCTACCCACCAAAACAGTCACTCAGAGACAGAATGAATATGTCTCGTTCTATCCGCACCTTACAAATCAACCAGATTCCGCCTCTGTTACTGTCACTCTCCGCTCTGCGTCTTTTCAATTTTTTTTTAATCTCGCTTCTTGCCTTCGACATGTTCTTTGCCTAATACTTTTGCCTTCTATCCTCGACCCTTTCACTCCCGACAAGCTGTCAGACAAAGTGCATTATTTTCCTCTTTGCGTGTGGCCTATCAAAAAAGACATTACAAGACATCCTTGTTTAAGGGTTGGCAAATGCAAAATTTACACCCCTCTGACATGTGCTTGCAAATAGAAGAATGGAAAAAGGATGCATTTATGGTGAAATTCCGTGGAGGTTGATTTTTGAATAAGTGATTCAAATACGTGTTTTTTGAGGGAGTGGCGGGGG